CCCAGGTTGGTCCTTCTCTGCACAGACCCCAGTGGGACCTAAGCACTCACCCCAGTTGGTCCTTCTCTGCACAGACCCCAGTGGGACCTAAGCACCCAGGTTGGTCCTTCTCTGCACAGAATGCAGTGGGACCTAAGCACTCACCCTGGTTGGTCCAGAACCTTTTTACTTGAGGTGCACATGCCAGTTCCACGAACAGCTTCAGAACACTCTGTGGAGTCACAATGGAACATGCCAGAGGCCCAAGGGCAGGAGTTCCCATGCAGTGGGCTTCATGGAAGATGGATCTGGGCTGGGCGCAAGGGTCCCCTCTTTCTGCCACAGGGCTCCTCCGTGGCCCCAGATGGCCTCTAAGGTCTGTTTCAAAGTCACCTGTCCAGGACTTTCTAGCTACCTTGTCTGAGAGGCAGCCTCACTCTGTGTCTTCTCTGTTACACAGCGGAGAGGTCTGATAGCCTTGGTTCACTTGGTCCTCCACGCTGGGCCACATCAGCTAGGTCATGGCTGCCCCACCTCCTGTAGGCACCTTAGAGTGGGCAACAATGTTGAGGAGTGCAGGGTCCTGCCATGTCTCCAGGGCTGTGCCTCCAGGAGAGGTGGGTGTGCGGTAGCCTGTGATAGACACCTTCAGGGTTCCCCTCTGATCATTTAAAAATCCTGGAATACTATTACTTTTTTTTTTTTTTTGAGACAGAATCTCATGTTGTCTCCCAAGTTAGAGAGTGCTGTGGTGTCATAGCTCACAGCAACCTCCAGCTCTTGGGCTCAAGAGATCCTCTTGCCTTCGTTTTTCTACTTTTAGTAGAGAGAGGGCCTCACTTTTGCTCAACCTGGTCTCAAACTCATGAGCTCAAGCAATCCACCCACCTCGACCTTCCAGAGTGCTAGGATTACAGGCATGAGCCACTGCTCCCGGCCCTGGAATACAGCTAATCATAGATATTTGGAGGCCTTTCGGAAAAACAAAAACTAAAAGCCAACCTGAATTCTATTAATCAATTTACCAAACTAACTGAATTTTCTTTTTGGCAAGAAAATTTTGCTGGAGAATTTACATACTGTTGTTTTTGGAAGCATTGAACAATTCTGATGTCCCTGTAAGAGAAACATGGGACAGATGGTATTGCTGGAGCGGACGATGTTGACTTGTGTGTGTAGGGGGTGTTACATTTGATCTTGTCTGAACACCCTGCATACCCCTGAACCACACAGGCTGCAGAACACACGCACACGAGAGCAGGGCCCAGAAAACAGGCTGGCTGGGAGATAACCCATGGCCCCTGCATTTCCACTGGTTTACTTCCAGGTGTTCAGGACAATTCCCGCCACCCTGCTGCAGGCCCCTGTGAGATTGAGACATGAGCAGATGGCACCCCCACCCCCAGCATCCTTTCCATGCCATCTACCAGAAGGTACCCCACCCTCTCAGGACATGGACCCAAGGTGACAGCCAGTTTGAGAATGTAAACCTGGGCCATGCCTCGCCCTCAGGCCAAGTTTAAGGTGACATAGCTGTAGCCACCAACCAGTTGGGAGGGGACGGGAGACCAAGGTCTTACACTTGGGACAACACCTACCACCTGTTACAGGAAGGTCTGGGACTGGGGACTCGCCTGCCCAAACCACCGCAGCTACTGCTAAATAAGACCAGCATGGACAACATGGGCCCAGTTGCAGCTCCACCCCTGCCACCTCCCACTTCACACTACTGCTCAGGGGCCTGCAAACCTGCCCACACTCGCCTCTGCTCCAACTGCTGGCTCCTGAGCAAGCCACCTGAAGGCCCGAGAATTGGACCCCTAGGACACACTAACACAGCTGTGTGCATAAGCTGCTTTGGAACCTAAAATCATCACCCTCAGCCCACTGCTTCCACCACTGGGGTTCAAGCTGCAAGTCCCCAGCAAAACCTCACTACAGCCTCCACTAATAACTATTCCCTAAGCCACCAAGGAAATCACAGATACCACTGACTCTGTGTACTGCCCAAGAAATCATACAAAGACCACACTAGTGCAGGCACCCCAAATCAAAACCAAAGGGTCTTACTCAATCAATAACATATATACATCTTAAGAAAACATTTTCCCATTCAAAAAAATTTCAAAAAATTGGAAC